GAGCTTTAGCTACATCTTTGACGGCATTAATCAGAACAACCTATAACAACATTAGTGTTTGTATCAGTAATGGGCAATGATATTGCAAAATGTTTGATTTAGAATCGTTGAGTAGTCATTACTTGAGTCTCTGGATCTTCAGACCCAAGACTTGCAGCCCCCAGTTTAACCACATCTGCCAGTTTAGTGATGGTGGTCACTGACGACTGGGCGGCCTGGGCGAGTTTCTCCTGACTGGCACCAGCTCCAGACACTAGCAACTTGGTGTCCTCAACCAGCGCTTTAGCAGTCTTCAAGATGCACTCCCTGAACATAGAATGTGAATGTTCATTAGAATTGTAGATATATATATGAGAGAGAGAGAGAGAGATACAGATACAGATATAGATAGATAGAAATAGAGATATATCTAGTCTTATTTTTTAACATTAAATCTGGATTTAAGTAGTTTTGACCGGTTGGTAATAGGTTGGGCTGTGTAGAATATTTCACTGATTTCAAGACATATCTAACTGGTTAAAAGATAATTTCTTAAAATAAGAAAATACATTTCCAGATTAAAATATATATAAATTATAATGATACAAATACTAGCCAGTGCTGTTTGAGTCTTTAGAACAGTATGTTTTAGATACTGTACCTGTGGTCTGCAAAGGTCTCAGCATTCTCTCTGTTCAAAGTACCCGCAGTGGCAAACATGATGGTGGTGTCCAGGTCTGCAATAATTCCTGACACAGCGCTGGCAGCTGTGATACAGGCCTGAGTGCCACGGTTACCTGCCTGTAAAGCTGCCAAAACATGAGACACCTACGGACAAAGAAAAAAGATCTGTCAATACTGGAACACTAACACATGAGTATTCATTTGAATTTTGCAAGTAGTAAGACTAGTTTTTACCTTTTCTGAAACTTTTCGCGCACTTTCTATTAGCTCTTTTTTGGTGAAAGAGTCATTGGGGCTGCACTGCAGAGCTCCTGCCTTTGTCACCAGACTTGTACAGCTGAAACCAAGCTCGCCCACCTGCTTCTTAATATGATGGCCAATCTAAACATCAAATACATGAGATGGACTGTTAATGAAAATGAAACATAAAACTCACTGTGTTTACAAATATGAACAGAATTACCTCGTCACTTTCTGCAGTGACAGCTGCATATTTAGCTTCTGTGGCCAGATTCCCAAATTCATTGGTTAGTTGGTTGGCTAGTCCTCCAAGGTCATCAGGGTTGGTGTTAGACTTTGTGACCTTGAGAGTAAAGAATAACGCAATCATAAGTCAAATTGTTAAATCACTTGCCAATTGCCATATGAGGAATGTGATACTCATCACCCACGTACCATCTCCTGAACAGTGACTGCAATTGCTTTAGCTGTTTTGACCATAGTAGTCTGGTAGTCCACAAATGTGCCCTCAGGATCAAGTGCAGGAGTTTCTTCCATTTTATTGATGGAATCATTGATTGAATCCACCATACCGCCCACAGCACCTGCAGCACTGGCTGCCTCTGCCAGTGTCGCTCCAAGATCATCTACGGCCTCCTTCATCATCTGCACAGACTCTTCTAGAGCCTCCTGCATATGTGCCGCCTAAAAAAATAAAGCATGCTTAAAACGTAGTTCACCACAAATGCAATCTGAAGTAAGTATTTTTATAATCATATTATTGAAGTTAAATAGTGATAAGTTATTTCAATACCTTCGGGTTTCCACCAGCCTCCTTGGCAGTGTAGAGCATTTGCAGGGCAGACTCTGCAAGGGTCTTAGTCTGGTCTAAAACAGCCATCTGCTGTTGACTGCTGAGAATCTTTGAGGCTGTGCCAATGGCAGCCATAATCAGGGGCTCAAAGTAGCTGGCCATTTGAGAAACCTGTACAGTAAAATATGCTGTATATTATGAAACTGGTAACATATAAAACAGTACTTTTATATGATTGCAATCAATTGTTACCTTGTGACCAAGCAGAGAGGCCTCAGATCGGGCAGCCACAGCAACAGGCTCAATCAAGTTACTTATTTCATGAACTGAAGCTGCCATCTGCTCATGAAGAGTCTACAACACACAAGCATACATATTTGACTTAACTACAACATAACGTATGCCTTGGTAACATTCACTATTATAACTGAATGTGCTTTTGTATTGTGTTGATAGTAGCAGACTTGCCTCCATGGAGATGTCATCTCGAGGTGTAAGATGCTGGCTAATAGCAGCAAGAGAGGCCTGGTCCACCTCACGGATGCAGTTATTGAGCACTTCAATAGCATCATCACACTCTCTCTGGCCAGGTGCCTTATCTCTGCATTTGCAAAGTAAAAAATTGGTGATAAATATAATTAATAATGGACAAAATATTAACATTATTATTTATTAATGGACATATACAGCCTTTCCATACCTCATGTTGGTAATAAGCTTCTTGATAGAATCCGACACAGTTCTTGAATGACCTGCCAACACTGACCACTTGGGGGGGTCTTTGGGGTTCACAGCCAAAGAGCGGGCAGTTTCAATCAGACCTGTTGAACTTTCCAGCATGGTTTGTGCTGCTGCAACTATGGGCTCCATAGCAGCATGACCCTATGGAAAAAAAAAGATAAAAAGTGTTAATTAAAAATATGTTTCATGTAAGTTTTCATATAAGCTTCATGTAAGCTTGATAGAGGGATTCAGAATTTGGCAGTACTTCAGGGCTGATTTGAGCAGGAATGCTGGCAAACTCTGGGTTTGAGGCAAAGGCTGTGAGGTTGTCCACGGCTTCTATAAGAGGACCAGTAGCAGCCTTACACTTCTCTCGGTTCTCCTGGTTAAAGGCTCCATCCAAAGCCTATTGATGAAGAAATACATATTGTAGAACCTTAAAGAGACTAGAGTAAAGAACTACTATAGTTAGGTTTACGATTAATATGGAGCGGGTGGATCCTGCATGAAGCTTCTTAATGTTTTTAAAACAACTGACCTTAATAGACTTGACCAGGTTGGCAGTGGTGTTTGCCACCTCTTTGGCTGATTGCACAAACTGCCTTTTGGCAACTGGGTTGGATGTCTTGGAGGAGGCAAGTCGACAGGCATTGCATAATGCTGAAGTATGCTTAGCCACAATTGTGGCAGCAGAAAGCACCTGAGGAAGAGACTGATGTGAATAAGATGTGCAGTGATGATGCAGTATGCATTAGTAAAAACACTGCAGCTTAATACTTGGGACTGGGTACAGGCAGGGTCCACCAGGTTTTGACAGGCCATCTGGATAGACTGATTGGCCTTGGCGAACTGAGCAGGATCCACCAAGCCTTTCTGGCCCGCAGTGCTATTGGGGTCAGAAACCCCCACCAGGTAGGCAGCCTAAAAGATAATCAGGTTACTTTCGTCAGGATCTTCATCTCTTATGTGTCAAAACATGTAATAGGAAATGTGTTGTGTTTTTACCTGTGCAGCTGCTTCTGTAAGGCCACACAATGCTTTGGAGCCAGCACTGACAGAGTCCCCAAATTCAGGCAAATTTGAGTCTTGGCATGATGGGAAATGCCTGCCATAGACTCGCCAAGTACCTTTTAAAAATATTAAATTGAGAATAAAGTAGAGTTTGATATACAAATGACATGTGCAACACCAACAATGAGGGCAGCAATTACAAGTAAGAAATAACAAAATATAAATGGGGGGCATACCTTCGAGTTCTCCATGACCCCATCAATACAGTCAAAGTAAGACATGTCATTGACTGCTTCAGTTGGGTTCTCAAGCATCCCTCTCACAGACTACATGCAAACAAAGTATAAGGCACAAACACACAGTTTATCATTATCCAACACTAAGACTGTTTAAACTACTATTATTCATTCATCCATCTATTCTAGATCATAAAAAAAAAAAGCTTCGGCATAGGATATTCATTTGGACATAGTATTTAACACTTACATTCTAACTTAACACAAACCCAATTGCATGAATGTTTAATGATGCATCCATTAATTATTTGACAGAAAAACAAAAACTTAAATGAGAATAATAATTACCTCTAACTCTCTGAGAGCATTATCACATTCTTTTTGACCTGGGGCTTGTTGAGTGCACATTGTGATGAGTTGATTGATACTGTCTGTAACTGCCCTGTTTATGCACATACAGAAAAAAACTGAGAAACAAGACTCACAATACGATGAAATGTGAGCACAGTCTTTACCTAGCTGCATTAGCAAGTTGGTTTTTCAGATTGGGGGAGTTGGGATCTGTTGAGAGGGCTTTAGCAGCCAACAAAAGTTTACTGGATGACATGGAAATAGTCTTCAGGTTGGACACAACCTGAGTTTGATCCTCCTTTGACTTCAAAACGGTATAATTACATTAATATTGTACACAGTAAAATACATTTGACATTGCACTGAGAATATGTGAATGTTATTAGACCTGGGATGTTCCAGCCATGTCAACTCCGGCATCCAGGAAGTTGCTGAAATCCTTTCCGAACTTGCCGGTGGCTCTGGCAAGGTCCTGGGTGGTGCCCCTGGAGGCTTGGACGACTTCATTTGCTGACTGGTTCAAACCAGCTGCCACCTCATTCAGGTGAGCCTGAACCTCTGGGAAAGGTCTACCACTGGATGGGAACTAGAAAAAAATAGTCAAACACTCAATTTCTTTTCAAACTAAATTAACAGAGTAGTAAATAAAAAAACATATAAATCAATACAATCCCCAACAGAATCTTTTGATTGTAAACAGGTTTCACTCACAGAATCTGAGAGAAGCGTCTTGCTGGCTTCACCTACAGAGCGGATCGCATTGTCCACATCCCTCTGGCCTGGAAGGCAGTTCACACATCTGTTCAGGGCCTGAGACACCGCCTTTGCAACCTGCATACAGATGTTGGAAATACAGTTGGGTCCTATTTAAAGGACTTCAAAGTTACATAAATCTTCACTTGGTTCAGGTTTATGCTTGTGTACCTGGGCAAGCCTTTGCTGACTTTCTGCGTCCCCAGGCTTAGCAATAGCTCTCTTGGTCTCTTCAATGAGGTTGGCTGACTTGTCCATGACATCTCCAGCACAGTCCAAAATGGCACCACGAGCCGGTAAGTCTGTTGTAGTGGCAGCTACACCACGGGCACCAGAGGCCAGAGACTTAAGAGCCTGAGCCACATCTCTGGCTGCCATACCTGCGTTTTAATATGCTGTATTAATATTCACTATGTCACATTTGTATTTAAAAATACAAAAGCAGTACAACTGACATGTCATTCACTTTTTTCTGTAAAATACCCACCTGTGTAGTTTTCATTGCCCTGGGTCGCTTCACTCAGTAACTGAGCAATGGCTGAACTCACGGCCTTGGTGCTGGTCCCAAGATCCTGAGAACACTTCTCCAGCTGAATAAAAGCAATTCAGAATAATAAAAATGTGATACTAAGAGATACAAGAGATGTCTCATGTGTGGATGTCCACAGAGAACAATATGAACAACATGAATAACATAAAGCCTCACCGTCTCTCCGGGCAGTGGTTTGAGTTTGCCCTCTTCAGATGAACTTTTGGCTTCGTGCATGTCCTTCTCTAGATCTCGAATCATTGACAAAGCGTTGTCTATCTCAAGTGGACCACAAGCTTCCTGTGCCTGCAGTAGACAAAATGCCCAAAAAATTAAGTGCATAAAATATATATATTTAGAATATATCTAAAATGTGTTTATACCTTCTGGGAGGCAGTCCGCAGCTCAGCAAGAGCACTTGCCAAGTTCTTGGCACACTGGCTCAGCTGCATGGCAGAAGCTTGATCGCTGATGGTGGGAACAGTAGCTTTAGATGCAGTAACCATTTTGGCACCAGGCTGGTAGACAAATACAGACAAGAAATTAGATGTTTCTTAAAATAGGTCTGAGTTGCTAATGTGAACGTTACCTGTAGAAAGTTTTGGCTGGCACTGATAAGAGCAAGCTGAGCACTGGGACTATCAGGCTGAGACTGGCTGCCTCGAACACCCTGGACCAGTTGAGGGATTTGATCTGCCACTACCTACAGGCCACACATAAAATACAATGATAAAGGCTCACATTGGCAAGGGTCTGAGAACTCTAGTGTACTTTATAGATTTATGGTGAAAGTTACCTTGCAGCTCTGAACAAGTTGCTGTTGGGCTGCCAGATTTTTGTTGGAAGAGGCAGCATGCTGAGCAGCTGCAATTGTCTGAGTGGCTGCTGCAGCTGCTTGCTTCGCTGCATTCTGAGGGGAAAAGTTAAATTATTTGATGTAGATTAGCCCAAGTTTGTATTCTTTCTTGTCATACCTCAAGTTTGTTAATCAAACGTTTCTTGATGGCATTCTGTGCTGCCGCATTGGTTGCCATGCGGAGCCCTTCTGCTGCCTCTCGTAACTTCTGCTGCTGTTCTTCACTGTCTGGGTTTGCTGCAGCACCCTAGGGTGGTGACCAAAATCAATATGAATCACTATATTTTAGTCATAATTATTATTTCTGTTATGTGAATGACTGAATCATTAACTGGGGAGCTGAAAATGAATTCCCCTTAAATATATATATTTTTTAATCTAGACAAAAAATAAACCATTACAACTCATTTTATTTAGCTAATGTTTAGATGTCAGTGGTGCAATAAATCCTAGCGGACCTTAGCAGCTTCCACCATCTTCGCAGTAGCATCAGCCAGTAGCTTGGCGGCCGAAAGGAGCTTGCGAGAGTTCTCCAGGTCAGACTCTCCTTCTGCATCCATCTTGATAGCATTAACCAAATCAGAAGTGGCCTGGGCAAGTATCCGAGCCTGTCGAACCATTTCACCTGAAGGAGGGGTAAAAAATGTTGTGTTATTAATAAGAAAGAGGGCTTTATATGATTATAGTAAACTGAATAAATGAAATATGACAGTGTACCGGCATCACCCATCGAGCTGAAAATATTTTCAGTGACATCTAAGATGCGGTCTGTAGCTTCTCCATGGCGCCCGATGGGGTGCCCTCCGCTGGCATACTGTTTGATGTGCTGTAGCAGATCATTGAGCGCATGGGTCACACCTGTGGCCGCTGTACCTACTTGTTTGAGGAGACCCTCATCACTGGTGGCTCCTTGTGAGGCATCAACGCACCCCTCCACAGATTTGGCCACCAGTTTGCCTGCCTCAATCAGCTGCTCCTGGCACACAGGTGAGCTGATTGTAGGTGCAACAACCTGCAAACAAGAACAATAAAATAATGTTTACTATCAAGTATTATGACTCTAGAAACAGTATTCATAGTGTGTATTTCCAGTTAGCATGTTTGACTGACCCTGGTGCAGGCCACAAGCTGAGATGTGGATAAAGCACACTGTGTGGCTGCAGCAATGACCCGGTTCTGTTGAGCTGAGTCCTCAGTCTTCTGAGCCACATTTTTAGCTTTGAGCACAAGAGCTGCAGCAGCATTAGCTACAGCCTTAGCCAACTGCATCAACATGTCCTGGAACAAAAGTACCACATACCAAATGTAATTCTATATATTATGGCTGAGAAATTAAACACGAATTTCAAGAAATAAATTAGTTAAAATAACATAACATGCTCTAATGGCATTGTCATAATATACAATTAAGGTTAGATTCATCTTAGAGAAAAGGGTGATTACGCAAGATTTACACTATATATAAACACCAATTATGCCAGATTTACTATGAAATTAATAATGACAAAGATATAACATTGTAACAATAGTATATTGATTAACAACAGTGATTGTATCATTCATGTGATTTTTGTGATCAGGCAGATTTTTGTTTAAGGGTGTTTCTGTTACCATTATTTGACAATATGATACTTTTCTTCTTGCACCCCTGAAAGATCCTTTACCTAAAAACTGTTGAATAATATATGAACTCACACTGAATACAGCTGAATATCACATGTCTTTACTAAAGTAGACGTTTAATTGTGCTCACCAATATGTTTAGAACACCTTCAATAATAAATATACAGACCATATGCTCACCTGGAACTGTGGATCAGTGTCTGTTTCTCCAATGTGTGACAATAGTTCTCCACTGGCCTGACCCACGTTTCCAGCTGCCTGCAGCAGATTCTGTCGAGGCTAAAGAGACACAAATTACAAAATTTTCTTTTATGAAGATATTCACCATCTCTAAAACTACAGCACTTATGACTAGTGTACCTCTGTATTGGCAGGCTGGGCAGTCTTAAGCATATCAGATACTGCACAGGCCAGGTTTTTAGCAGCACCCAGCAGCTGCTGCCCATTTCCTCCCTCATCTTCCATTAGGGCAGCTAACAGTTTAACTCCCTTAGACATTTCCGTTAGATTTGAGGAAATTGTGGTAACAGCACAGCCCACTGCAGTGTAGTCTGTTTCCGAAGGGTCCCCTGAGGACAGGGAAAGAAAATCACAAATTCATTAATATTTTGGAATCCCTGAATACAGGTAGGTCTACAGGGTGTCCATCATGGCTCAATACAGTTATGAACTATGACTTCTGTAGTCTTACCTGCAGTGAGGTTAACCATAGAGGCAGTGCCCGCTGTGATGGCATCCACCTGAGAGTGAATCTCATGTTTTGATTCATCCATTTTGTTTTTTCGCCAAGCTTGAGATGCCTAAAAAATTATTTCACTGAGATAATGATGTCATCATAGAATGAAATAACAATTACCAAAAGAAAGAGTAATGTCTTACAGCATCTGTCCCTAATGGAGGCAAGGTGTCAAAATCATCCAGAGAGGCCTGGGCAGCCTGGACCGCATGCATACTGGAGTTGATCGTTCCGGTTAAGGCTTGTTGAGCTGATGTCTATAAAATCATTGCATATGTCATATTAAATATTTACAGACAATTTAGTACCTGTATCACTTTCATTATCTGACATATATAAACCATAGATTTTACCAGAGGGGGCATGTGTCCCCTGTGCATCTGTCCACTGGTAATGTGTTGTTTGGCCTGTGGCATGGAACCCATCTGGAAGCTTTCTGGACCCCCAGCTCCAGAGCGCATGATCGCCGGCAACGCAACAGAACCTGTCTCTACTTTTCCAACTTTGTTGAATTGCTGCTGCAACACTGTAGACCTGAATGAAATGAAACAGACATAACAAATAACAGGGTAAATATATAAATAATGAACTATGTTTTTGTCCATTTTATTTTAAAGAGCATATTTCAGCAGTTATAGAAACAGTGCATACTTTTTAGGTGACACTGAATCTTCCAACATAGTTGATTCTTCATCTCCCTCCAACCCAAAGTGGTCTTTACTTTTTTTCTGCAGAAACAAAGACAGAATAAGTTTACCAAAAAAAATCTGCATACTTCACTTTAAAGACAAATTATTGTAATTGGAGTTACCTTTTTCAGTATGATGTCAATATATCCTGCAATAAGCTGGGCTATCTGTTCTCCCTCAGTGGTTTGGACAGAATAATATCCATCCTGATAGTCTCCAAAGTCCTAAAAGAATTAAAACACCATTCAGACCAAATACTTCTTAATACATTACAATATGAATAATAATAAACACAATAATATACAGTGAAATATTTTGCTGCTGTAAACAAGAAGCTGTATGGGAGCAAGTGCAAATAAACAATTGCTTCAGCTTACTCTTTTTGGGCTATATATGTATATGCAATGCAAACAAAATGTAAAGAACGCCTAAATAAACTAAACTCTGAGGACAAAATTGGAAATTATAGGCCAAATAAGATTTTTTATTTTGTATTAAGTAAGAACTGAATTTGTCACTATTGCTTCAGAGAGGGAATGTTGTTTTCCAATAATATGCAGGAGCGCACATGTTTGGACACTGTGTATCAAGAAATGAAAAATTACATTTGGCAAGAATTATGAAATAGATCTCAGAGAAAGACCAAAAAGCAGAGAAAGCAAAAAACGTCATTACATGGAATTAAAAAGTCTTACCAAAGTAAAACTTTTAGGAGACGCAGCCCAGCGTTTGATATTAGTCAAGTTCCACTCTTGTATCACCTCTTTGGTCTTCTCGTCCACTCTCATCACACTCTCTTTTGTAATGCCCAACAGACGAGGAACAAGCTTGTTCTTTCCTTTCATTTTTTCCTATTTGGAATAACATTGTAAATTCCAGAGTAAATTGGTGCCCAGGTGAAATGAAAACAATGAGTTTATGAATAAAAAATAAAATTATAAGCAAATTTATGAGTAGGTAAATAAATAGGTAAGACTATGGGTAGATTTAAATGTAATATTGTGTATGATCATGTATTCAGTTTACATGTGTGATATATTTATATAATAATTACAACATTGGCTTTGTTTACATATTAACAACGAATTCTGCACAGTGCATCATTTTGATAATGTTATATTGCTTTATGCTGTTCTCACCTTGACCAAAAAGAAAGACACTCCATATGTTTTTAGGGACCTGGCCAACTTCACATAACTGACTTTGGCTTCAATTTCTGTCATATTCTGGCAGTTTTTATGTGCCTACAGAAAAAAGAGGAATGCCATTTTAACAGAAATATTATTTAATTGTCTATATTGAACATTTTTTGCTGTATGACCATTTTAGCATAGCCGAGAGAACACAGCTGTATAACATGGCTCCTACCTGAAAGATCTTTTTCTCTCCTTTGTTCTTGATGTACTCTTTGGGTAGGAATTCTTTCAAACTAATAAAATAAACATACAAAAAAACTGCCAACTAAGCTTTTATTGTGACGAAACTGCTACAAAAACACTACAGAAAAAAGTAACTTACTCTAAGAACCCTGATTTGTGTTTAGACTCATTGTGGTCCCCAAACTGGATCTGACACTGATAACCAGCAAACTCACAGGCTTTGTCAAAGGAGACAGGATGGGAACCGTTGAGAATGTCGTCTCGAGCCTGTTCATACACACATTTAGTTACAGTTAAATTATTTCACTTTCCAGCGGTAACTTGACAGCTTGTTATCCAAGTACCTGGACATAGAGCAAGTTGAGCTGCACTGGATCTCGGGAGTCTACGTTTTGGTCGGAATAAAAAAACTTTCTTCTGAGCAGCAGCATCTCAGTTTCCTCCACTCCTTGTTCCCTCAGTGTTCTTCCATGGTCCAACCAATTCACTATTCAATAACAAACCATTTAAAAAACGAATGTTAAGGCTGATGTTAATCAGATGTTATGTTGTATTGCATCCATACATTCATCATCTGTATGTAGTTTTTGTTTTAGTTTTTCCATCTTCTTGTCATCTCGTAGTAAGGTCTTGTCTCTTTTAAGGGTACCGGTAATCTCCTCTTTCTTCTCCTCACCAATGTCACGCACGAGTGAATACTCATCATAGTTTGTAATTCCTAACAAACATTTTTAAAATAGTGATTATTGTCACTTAGATTTTTTTTATTGTCACATTGATATTGTACAATGAAGTATCAAACCTGTTACCTATTCGTGCACAGATGGTCATGAGCATATCACTGACAATTTTGGAGTCATCCACCATCACAGTCTTCACTGTGCCATCTAACATCCGAATCTTCAGGGGCCTCTGCTTTTTCTTGTATTCTAAAGTATCCTACACACAGTAGAACATATAATATGTATGAAGGCCAACCACAGAATCTAGTTGTAAATATATTATTTTATATTTCTAATCTAAAATAAAAATAAGAATAAGAAAACAATGCCGTAATGATAATATACATATATGGTTGTTCATATGAACTTGTTAGATTTGAACAAGTTGTTAGATTGAAATAGCCACTGACATCACAGTTTTGTTAAGTGTGTTTATGTGACTCACGCCATTCCTCAACATGTAGTAATCAAGGGCCTTTCCAGCCTCCAGCCAAATGCCTTTCTTTGGGTCTTCATCGGACAAAAATAGGCCATAGTCATTTGCTGAAAAAAAACAAAAAAACAAAATAGAAATACATTTAGAAAGTACTTGAAATATAATGTATTAGTTACTATCAAGACAATGGAGACTACGCAGCTCTGGGAACATTGCAATGTTCATGACAAACAAAGCAGTGGTTTTTGGTCTTTGTCTTAGAGTTGTACATAATGGCGTACAGGTTTGAACATGTCTGCCAGAGAAAAAAAAAACGTATATAATCAGATGTTGCATGCCATAAAACAGAGAGAGGTGGGCTATTTTAGAATTAATACTTTAAGTGTTAGCTGTGGTCACCTGTTCTACATTATAGCTGTAGTCAGAACTATTGTATTATATTATATTAAGATTATTTTTTATATATTTATATATATATATATATATATATATATATATATATATATATATATATATATATATATATATATATATATATATATATATATATATATATATATATATAGTTATAATAGTATAATATAATGCTTTGTCACTCCAGTGGAGTTGTTTGTAGCATATTTAATCTTGTGATTGAATGAAGTTAAAGAACTTATGATCAAAGCATCAAAGCACTTTGGTTTAATTAGTAGCACTGTTTGTGGCACTCACGCTGGCCGAGCTGCGCCTCGGGGACTCTCTCTCTGATGATGCGACAGGCGTCATACACCATGGTGGAGGGCTCAAACTGCATGGTCTTCACCACGTTGCCCACACCGATCTTTAGGGACAGGGCCACCATGTTTGCTGCTCTGCTCCTCCACCAAAGTCACTCCTGGATCACACATGAAAAAACAATACAGATTTGGTATTTGTCAAAATTAGAAAAAAAATGTACCAAGATTTGAACAGATGCAACATAAAAACTTTAAGTGAACAGTTGTTCTTATCAGGCCAGCACAGTTATTTTCATTGCAAAGATTCTTTAGCAAAGAGACAGAGCTCAAATTTCCATTAAATGGTATACTAAAATACATTTTCTATAAATTTACTGGGTGTTACCAAGTTCATAAGTTCAATAATACAATTTTTTTAAAGCAGTAATATTAATTTGAAAAAGCAGGTTTCTTCTAAATATTTGCCTTGTAGCAGCAGAGGATTTCACAACACAGACACCCTGCCACACTCTGGACTTATTGGATTATATTTTTCATCCTTTTTCAAACTTAGTCATAACATATAAACATGTAACATATAAACATATAAACAGGGAGGTACAAAAGTCTTACTATGGCACATCAAGGTCCACTTAAAGTTGCAACAAGAAAACATTCTATTGGTGACAAATACATTGTCTCTTTTGGTGCTACAGTAAGAAACACAACATTTGTGTTTAAAAATCACACCTCACATCCACTAGTCAGCGGGTCTCCCTGCACATCAACCACAGTTATTCAACATCTGACATCTGACATCCAAGCTTCAGTTTAGTGGAGCAGAAGAGTTAGTAGCAGCTTCATACACAGACAAACTTGGGCCTGTCTCTGCCATGGAATGACTGAGATTCCCACTCTTATGTTGTGATGTCATTTCCTGTTTCAAAACTCCCTCCAACGCCATAAAAGGGCATGTGAGCTATCTGTAAGCTTACAGCCACGATTCAGCTGGGGGGCAGCGTATCCTGTTTATCCAGTATGAATGTTAGCATGCTTTGTTTGGCTTGAGGAAAGGTGCTTAATGATGTAAAGCTGATTCAGGAGATTTTGTAGACCACAAAGACTGCAGCTCATAGCACTTTGATATTATATATCTTTAAATAGATTCATACACCAAATGTCAACATGCAAGCATTTATTGGTTTGATTATTTGTTTGCTCTTTAGGCTCATTAACTCATGCTCCACAAAATCTTTAGGGAGTAACAAAATTGTTGTACAAATTCCTGCTGCTCCACCCTGCAAAAAGGGAAGTGCCGGGTCACAACAGCAATTACTGCAGCTTATGAGGAAAAGCATGGTTAGACTTCCAAACAAGAGTGCAATAATATAAGTCATGCTTTTTATGGACAAATGAACTATGATATAATGCAACAAAACTGCTGCATATATCCATCATATAATTGTTCAGTTACAACAGTGTCCAAAACGATTTATCGCAATGAACCACAAAAAGCACATTTCCTTTTTTGTTTCTTTGCATTGTGCGACTGATAAGAGGAACCCTCTCTGTGACAGTAAATGACAGGAGGCTGTCTATACACAGTCCAAATATAAAGTACACTGTGCTGCTTTCTTTTTAAAATAATAAAAAAAAGCAGTGACCTGACAACTTGATGATTTTCATGTATTGCAGCAAAACTGCAACTTTACTGAAGAATGTAGAAACACTAAAAGGTTTACAAACTGCATAATAAAATGCAACAAGAATCATATGATATGTGGTAAAAGCATTTCCATTTTTATCCATTGTGAAGCACACACAGTGTCACCTGATCTGAACCAGAGAGTCCATGCTACAAGTATCAAAGCAACATACCACAAACTTAGCCATGTATTACAAAACTATATATTTCTTTTATCTGTCTTTTTAGAACATTATTCTAAATGCAGTATGGTTTAATTAATAAAGAAATGTGGTTCTCTGCAAGCCAAAATTTAGTTCAGAATCAAGAAACTTCGATAATGAAACTACAGATGTTTGAAACATCATGTAAAACAGACCATAGTTCAACAAAACAGTGTTGTGTTTCGCTCTCATGAAACTATTGACACTTCTGTTTAACCTCATCCCACATGAACCAACAGCTTGCAAAATATCTTCTCAGCAGCAGAAGTAAAAACGGCATCAACTGACAAGTGCATCCACATGCAAAATTTACTATGAATTTACTGTACAAATGTTTAGAAATGTACCACACTGAACGCATGCAATGTTTCTAGCAGATTTGTGCAAAGAGTAGCACAATCTGAGAAAAATATGACCCATTTCTATGCAATACTATATGTGGTGACTCTTCTGTCATCTTATAGTAGGACATACAATATGATATATGTAGCATTTTATAATATTAGATTATATTGCTACTAAACTGATAAAACAACATAACTGAACATACACAGGAAATAATGTTCTTGTATAGCTCCTAACCACCACACCGCTTAAACTGAATTTATACATGCTTACCCAGAAAGTCAAGTGCAATATATAATGATATTCACAGCACTGTAGTGCATATAAACTAATTATTTTAGATTATAAGGATTTATATGGGACAAAAAAATGGGGAAAAAAAAAGAATACATGGAGAGTGGGATTAGTTTTTTTATTTATAAAAAAGCAGATTAAACGATTAAATGATTCACAAATTTAATCTGTTTTAAATACATTGTTTCCTAATACTTTTTTCTGTATGAATAGGCATGTATGTATGTTTTTGTATTAACTTCCGTGCAGGTGTAGTCCTGTGAGTGCAGCTTGGTTCAGATACATAGAGATGTGTAATAGTTTTGTCACGCCCTCTTTTTAGTGGACACGTTCGGCAGGACACGTCTAGTAGGGTTGGGTATCATCAAGAAGTTGCCGATATGATACATATTTCGATTAATAGGCCACGATGATACATATCTCGATACAATAAGCTTTCTATTCGATATAGTTCAATAAAAAATAATGGCTAAATCATGGCTGTGATACTAAAAAGCTAAACCACTTCTTATGCAAAGTTAAGAGGAAACAAACCCATTTAATCATCAAAAAGTGAATATGTCAAATGTGTTGCATAAAAAAAGTTTCCTTCCTCTATTACAAGCAACAAAATGGTAGCACTTTATCAAAATAATTTTGTAAAATATACCAAAAAATACTCCTGGCAATATATCAATACAGCAGCCCATGATATTGATACTGTATCATTAAATTAAACGTTATGATATATCAATATTTTGATAGTTTTGCGCACCCCTAATCTTTACTATGAATTTCATTAGCCAACTACAGCCCAAATTGATATAATCATATATTAATTCATAAAATCATATATTTTCATATGTTTTATATAGAGCCCGACCGGTTCGGTTGACCAAAATTATCGGCCGATATGGGCACTTGGAGACATATTTGTATTTTATTTATTTATTTCATTCATAAAGCATAAAAAGACATCAACAATGTCACAACATCAGACACACAAGAAATGAATGAAAAGGAGCAGAAAGAAGAATAAATCTTATGTTATCTGCCCCCCTTTCCTTTTTCAAGACACTACATTAACACCGATGGTTCCTAAACATTCCATATCAGTTCAGGCACAATTACTGATCAACTGCAAACAGTAATCTTCACTATTATACACAACAACTTAGTTTTCTTCTTCATACATACACACTGCATTCGATTTTATATGTTTTTAAATGTCATCATTGTACTTGATTCTTTTATTTCTTTGTCAAGAGTATTCCATAAGTTAACTCCTTTCACGGCGATGCTTCGCTCCATAACCTTGGTTCTGAATCTGGGTTTTTAAAACATATAGGTTCCTTTTAAATTGTAGTGGCTTGTTCTCATCTCAAACAGTCTTTGAATATTTACAGGTAATACATTGCACTTTGCTTTATACATGACTTTGAGGATACTTAAGTCAACAATATCCTGCATTTTCAACACTTTAAGTTGAACAAATATTGGGTTGGATGGCTCTCTACAATGACTGTTGGTGATAATTCTTAAGGCCCTTTTTTGTAAAATAAATAAAGATTGTAGGTAAGTTTTACATGTTGAACCCCAAATTTCCACACACTACATCAGATATGGTGCAATTATAGAGTTATACAAGGTTAATAATGCTGTACTATTTAGTGAGAACTTTACTTTATCCAACAGCAATGGCTTTGGAAATTTTGCCTTTTGTGTAATTTATATGAGACCTCCAGTTTAGACCTTCATCAACCATAACTCCTAAAAATTTGGTTTCATTTACTCTTTGAATCTGTATCCCATCTATTTCTAATGTTATATTGTCTTTTTTCTTTTTATCATTAAATAAAATGATTTTTTTTTTTTACATTCAGAATCAATCCATTTAAATCAAACCAATATTTTACTTTTCTTAGCTCTTTGTTAACTTTACTTGTCTTTTCCAGAGTAAAATAATGTTGTGTCATCAGCAAATAGAATTTTCCCAAGCTCAGAAACTTTAACAAAATCATTCATGTACGATATAAATAATTTGGGCCCAAAAATCGAGCCTTGGGGCATATCAGCCGATATGTATGCTGATATGTTTGCTGATATGGGCCGATATTTTACGTGGGCATGTTATACCTCATTATAAATCTTAGAATCTCTAGATTATGTTCATTTAATCCAATTTACAGACAGATAAATGTCCTCATATGTGGCTCCACATCAGTGTTTATCTGCGGAGTTATTTGTCTGTGTGTGTGTCCGTACTGTCCCTGAACACACGTCACTCACGTGCGTTTGTTTACACTCACAGACACAGATCCAAACAATGAAATTATTTTCTTTTTATGGACAATTGGTTTGAGTCTGGATTAAAAGGACATTTATTAGTGCAGACCTGTGATGTGAGGAGAAGCCTGTGTGAGCGGTGAGTGTTGGAAATATGTCGACTTTGAAGCTAGTTTTGGTTATTTGTTATTGGTTAGAGATTAGCTGCTGTAACTCCCGCACATTGTAAATATATTGTTATATATTAATATATTAAATATATATTATATATTGTAAATTGACTAAATTGGCTGTATATATGTTACTGGACCAGCACTGATATGTAAACGAGCTGTGAATAGAGGTGTGAATTATGACACATTTACGG